CTTCCTGTTGACAGCTACAATTTTGCAGCTATAGGGTAGCTCCCCACAGTTTGCTATTGTCATTTGGAAGCTCTGAACCACAGTTACCAGGTGCAAGGTAAGGAAATTGCTTGGTTTATTTTTCACAGCACTGTCTTGTGTCAACTACTCGTGCCAAGAGCAGTTGCAAATGATTTCCTGTGATGGCCATCCTCCTACAGCAGGATGACTCAATTTTTCAATGTTCTCTGAGTAATTTAGCAAGCTCTGTTTAGCAGGAAGTTCTGCACTACATGCTGCTGTGGGGGTTAGGAGCTGGCATGGTGTGCAAGAGACAGAGAATGACCAGAAATAGGTGTCTCACCAGAACACCAGCACTTACCAAGGTTCAGGAAAAGTTTATCCTGGGTCTGGATGAGAGCCTGCCATTTGGACACTTCTGGCTTAGAGTGAAGAATAACTGAAACATCTGTAGATCTTGGTTCTTGTGCATTTAGTTTATGAGAATTTTAGAATTATGAGAATTCTAGTGCATTTAGTTTAAAGAATCTACTGTGCTAGTAGTGGATACATAAGAGTGCTGTGCAGGTTAGTATGCTTTTTTCTGTATAAACTGCAGGATCCACAGCCATGTGTGTTTTGGTCAACATGGATCAAAAACGTTTACATGTTTTCTGTCACTTGGAGAGCTGAGTGGGAAATTTGCAACAGAAAATGATGATTCAACAAAACGGAAACTATTCATATGAGAGATGTTAGATTTGATAAAGCTTTCTTTCTTTGGGCAGATTCTGCTTTACCACAGCGGGATTTTTCATCACAAATAGAGCTCTTCAGAAAAGCCAATATTCCAGAAACCACATGCAGACCCAGGATATAAGAAAGCCAGTTTCAGGTCTCTGACAGACGTGTTGCAGACACACAAATGCAAGTGTCATTCTGATTACAGTAGGTGGCATTTGAAATCTTTAAAATGAACATGAGATTTTTTTTTCCTTATCCAGTTGAGTCATATACTTTTATGCATATACTGAACACTGACCTTTAAATATATATATGTACCTAAATAGGGCTTGTTACCATTTGGTAACAGATATCTGAACATTATAAATATGTGTTTGAGAATTAATCAGCAACAGTCCACAAAAGTTAGATTCAACTAAAAGGGGTACCTGTAGAAGAGTACCAGGTGAATATTCATCTTCTTCAAGGACAAGTTTAGAGCCATACCAAAAAGCTAATGCATAACACAGGAAAATTACAAGCCACATGTAACCAGTGAATAATCCCATTATTATCCCTTTTCGAATTCCCCAGTGCTGAGCAAACACCAGGTTCTTATCATATCTGTAGAAAGAGTGAAAAATAAAAGTGGATGAAATGAATTTGATAGAAAATTCGTAATAAACAGAGACTAAAATGAGGTGCCTTCAGTGGTTGACTGCGCAGCAGTGAATTGAGGGTCCACATAAGGCTGATACCTGTCATTTTGAAGTGAGAGATCACTGCTGCATCTGCTGAAACCTCCCAGATCAGAAAATTCTTGTATATCTTGTATATCCTACTATGTCCTATAAGCGCAAGCAATACCACACTTGCTACAGATACCTGACCAAGGGATTGGGAGTTTTAGTGGTGGGGCACAAGATCTGATCATTTGGCTAAAGCTTCAGAAAAAGTCATACAGTCATACTATATTTTAAAAGAATGCAAGAGATTTGCAACATAACACCATCAAATCATCTTATCTGGCTATGAAGAAGAAATACAAAATTAAGTAGCAATCTGCAACCTTGGCAACATAAGTAGTAAATAGTTTAGATTCAGGTGTCTAAAATTCACCTTGTGCTTCTTTTCTTCTATGGAATAAGTACTTCTGAAAACCTAGAGTCAGCTAATCAAAAGTATTTATCACAGAGAATTCAGGTGGAATTGAAACTATCTGCATGTAGATTAAAGGCTCTTTTATTTTTAGGACCTTGCCAAAAAGGTCAGGTTAAACATCAGATATGTCTGTAATAAGATATGGGTGAACAATGACAAACTGTTCATGAATATTGAGGTAACTGTGAGAAAGATATTAGCTTTGATTGTTTTCGTACCACTCAGTATTTCTATTTAATAGCATACATTTTTATCAATACCTTTATTTATTTACTCACTTTGACATATTTATAATGCTCATTTATGATTAAGTACTACTACTGTAACTAGAACTGTTACTATTATTTCTGACATTTTCTAATGAATGATTTCTTCCATTTTTCAGGATCCATGTTGCAATATTTTAATTAAAATAATGAATGTAACATACATGTATATTATAATTTATGTACAAAAACAGACAAAAAGGAAACTTTTCTTTCCCAATCCAATCAGATTATTTCCTTCCTCCTCCCTTTTAAAATCATGCAGACATTCCTACTTCAGATAAAACTTTCAGAGTGGGCACAATAAATGGAGGTTGTCATAGGGGCTATGAGACTCTGGAACTAGTTCTTACTTAGCTTGAAATTACCCATACTTTTCAGATCTGCTGCAAAAGCGATTTATCAGAAAGTGCTTAAAGGAAAGTTTGTCAATATGTTTCTGTAAGTGGGAATGACTTGAAGACAGTATTTCTGATGTTTTGATTCACAGATTGGCTGAGTTCCATAACTGTTTTTGCATATGTAATGTTATTTAACAACTAAATTTCTGTGATATACCTGCATACTCAAAATACTCAAAGCTGAAAGATGGTCACTGTTTCAGAATTGAGACACTAATTGTCAGGATACTGAAGCACATGATAGCATTATGTTGCTACAGTGAAAAGAAACCAGAGACTTTTTACAATTTGTCTGAACAAACCTTTCAACTTCTTTCTTTTCCCCACCAAAAGCAGCCACTGTTCTGATGGAGGAGAGTACTTCATCAGCCACAGCTCCAGCTTTTGCATAAGCCTTTAATTCTCGGCCTGTTAGTTTTGCCACAGCCTACAAAACCATAAGAAGCGTTGGTTACACCTAAACTGTAAGCATAGACTAAGGATGGTGGTGAGCACTAGTCACCCACCACTACCCACTCTGCATGAGATCACCTCCACTGCACTGAGCAAGCTTTTATTATGCACACTGCCTACTCAGAAACTTCTGTCTTGTAGTGTTAGAGCATATACATCCCCGTGGCATGTGTTTTGCATAACAAATTTACCCCCTTGGCCAACCACTCTGCTCCAAGTAGCTAGAAAGAGCAGCTGATTACAACTGCTTCCCCTCCCTTTCTGCTGTCAGTTGGGCTTAAGCAACCCACAGACTGAGGGTATGTGCATTTCCGGGGGAAGGGGGAGGTGAAGCAGGAAGGTTAAGTCCTTAGCCACTGGCCTTAGCAGGGCCAGCTTCTGGTAGAAGAGGGAATGGAACTGAAGAAGAGGGGATGGAAACAGGCCGCCCACCACCTTGCCGTGTTACATGGGCTAACAGCAAACAGCTCCCTGCTCAGCATCCCAGACTATACTGTGGATACCAGAATCTTACTTAGGGTCAAAAAGTGCTCAGATTTGCAGAAGAAAATGTCACGATGGAGTATTATACAAAGAGATACCACCTGAGCTCAGGAATGACATGTCACTGGAAGTTGGAAAGTGTCATTATTGCTTTCCCTCTTCAAATACTCTACCCTATGCATCTATTGGCCACTTTTGGAGACGGGAAATCAGACCAGACTGACCTTGGGTTTATCTTCTTTATCGGCGAAAAAAAGACTTGGGCTGGAAAGGCTTAGAAGGAGGAAATGTCGAACAGTACGTATGAGAATGGAAAGAGCTGGGGACAGAGAAAGAAGAATGGAAAGGGAAAATATTATAAACGTAAAGGAGAATGAGCTCAGAGAGAAAGTGTAAATTGAAGGAAAGATGCAGGTAGGGTTTTATTAAATTCCCTGGCAGAACGCTGCTCTCCCACTTCACAATGAGTCATTATTCATATCACCTACTTGCAGTCACAGCACAAGCTACGAAAGAGAAGCAGGAAGAAGATAAATTGCCAGAGTTAGACTAAAGGTTTGATAGCAAAAGGATAATAAACTGTTCTCAACATGGAAGAAGTGAAGTAGCAAGAGGGCTGAACCTGAGTGAAAAGCACGGGAGATTGTGAAGGAGGAGCAGAAATTGCTCAGCCCTGCTGAGTAAGGGAGCAAGGTGAAAATGCTGAGGAGCCTGAAATTCCCCTCCTCCCTGTGGTTCCTCTTCAGAGTTAAAGGGAGGTGGAGGGAGTGGGAGGAGAAATAGAGACAGGAACAGCCGAGAGAGGATGCAGGAGCTGCTGGGAGCAGGGACGGCTTCAGGTGAGTCTGAACACTCGTTCTGAAATGTTTTAAAGCTCCTAGACTGGATCATCTCCAACCTCCCCTTAACCCTTCTTGAGAACTCAAGCCCAATGTTCAGTAACCATTTAAAACAGGTCTGTAGTAATAGAGGGATGCTGTAGGCCAGGTTCTGATCTCAGCAACAAAAATATCCATCCATGGGACCCAAAAGAAGGTATGCTTACACTCCCATCTTAGAAACAGGGTATATTATTCTTGGAATCAGAATGAACAAAGTGGGAGCAACATCCTCCTCTCCCGCACACCCTGCCATGCCCAGGAGCGTTGTCGGATTCTCAGAATGAGACTGCTCTCTCCAGGACAGGGTACAGCAGAGGTGCTCTGTTTATTTCAGTGCTGCTGTGACCAGGATCTGCCTCCTTGACTTGAAAGAGGTGCTATAGACTTCTCTTTCACAAACCTCTCTAGCTCTACAGCATGGTCTTCCCTGCTCATTGCACCCAGGAATGGACCTCACACAATTCGCTTACCAAGCCATAAATAGCTGCTCCAATCCCAATTAGAGGACTGACTGCAATGATAACCAAAGTCAGTTTCCAGCCACTGACAAATCCCAGTAGGAATCCACACACAAAGGTGGTAAAACGCTGGATAAAAACTGCTACTTGATCAGCAATAGCCTCATTAATTTTGTTAATGTCACTGGAAAAAAAAAACAGAGATGATTGGTGATCATATCTTTGATCATTTGTGTTACAGGTTGTGGCCATATTTGGGTTAGTTGCTTTCTCCTGGAGAGGGCCCTGAAACCTTCCTCTCTCCATTTTTTTTTTTCCTTACCTCTTCTAAAGACCCTGGGCTACAGTGAGGAGACCTGGTGCCTTTGTAATGGCAGGAGACATTTACATATGAATACTGCAGAAAAGATATTGCTACTCCTGAGAAAATTCATCCCGCCTCCTTCACTATCTGGTTCTCACTACTGTGCCCCTGTTGATTCAAAAGAGGGGGCAGAGACATCACAGCTAGATGCAGCTGTATGATAAAGGGAAAACAGTATAGCTGATATGGCACTTCTCCCATCATATAGCACTAAATACGTAACATACAGTTTTGTTGAGGGGGGAAGGAAAGGGAAGAGGGCTGTAACCCTCTTTGCAGTTTCACCTTCTACCACCTTCTAGTCCCTCTCTACACCTTTTCAGGTAGTTTCTTCTCTAAATGAGAGAGGGAGTGCGGGAAATAGAGGAGGATTGCATTATTGCTGCAGGCACTGGGAAAACAACATGGCAGCTCTGTCATATGGGCGATGGTGGGGCAGCAGTTAACATCATTTGGTCCTAATGCAGCTGCAGAATTGTTCTTTTTTCCCCCACTCTTATCCAGTGCAAATGCAAAAAAAATTTCTCAAAGCAAAATATTCATTTTACTTTTGCTGCTCTTGGCTACTATTTCACCCATGAGATAAGCAAAACTGGGAATTCCTGGAGTACATATGACCAAGTGGCATTGAGATTTAAAGTGCAGATTTGTTAGCTTGCTGATATATTAAGTAAAATCATAGTCCTCTATTGAAAAAAAAAGAGTGGTGAACTGAAGAACATGTTTATACTTCTTCTTGAGAATGTTTTTGCAGTCAAGGAGAACTAAATGTGAAGGTCAAGGAACTGAATGTTATTTATTTGAAAAATACAAATTCAGTTCCTATTTTTTGCCAGAGAAATTCCTCATAGCCACATACACTTGGTATTTATTCTTCATAAGCAGAACACCACTGAAAGTCATAGATACCACAGACCAGTGAGTAAAGACAAAAAATCCTGTCAACTACAGAAAAATATTTTGCCTACTGTCATGCAGGCAACACAGAGAACAGGGAGCCATCTAGAGTTAGCATATTCATCATGCAGCAGCTGTCAGCCTGTAAAACAGGAACCACGAAGGAAAGGAGCAAGCCTTAAACTCCATCTGTTTTTCTAAGGGCTGAATGTTTACCCAGAACAAGAAGGTTTCTCCACCTACCTTGGTCCTTTTCTGAAGGTAGGTGTTTGTACCCTCTTTTGCAGAACTTTAAGGAAGGCACACTCTTTTCTTTTAAAAGCCAACTGGAGGAAAGTGTGCCCCTAATGATTTTCTTATCCAGGAAGTGAGAGGGGGGGTTCAAACCCACATCTCCAACTTCAGAGGAGTATGCACTAGCAGCCAGATTATAGACCATTTTTGAGGGGTTGGGATCAGGAGGAAAAAGGAAGGACAAGACAAGGTGGGGAAAAAAAATCATTGCAACAGAAAAGGCACGAAAGGGAAATGATTGTGGCTTAACAGTTATGGCACTCAGCTAGAAGACGGGGGAAATCATGAGCCTGATCCTTGCTCCAAGAAATAGCTCTATTTTATATTAAATAGTGTTTGGCTAATGCCTAGTTTTTGGCACTCTGTTTGTGTTTGGACTGCTCAGGCATTCACAGCCCCTAAAGAAACGCAAAAACGTTCTCTACAGCATATATTTTTTCTAGATTACTTACTCAGAAATTCGGGTGTTCAGTTCTCCTACAGATGTACAGTCAAACCAGCCTATATCCATTCTCATTATTTTCCTGAAATAAGCTTTCCTGATCTTCTGTATCTGACGAGCTGCAGCCATTACCCAAAAGCAGATCTGGGAAGAGAATAATGTGGCTGATGAATTGCAGTAAAAGTCTTTCTGCTCCCAACAAATAGGAAAAGCAGTTTGGCTATTGACAAAATTACTAGTCAGATGAAATATATTCTAGCTACATAGACATGACAGCTGTTTTATGCCCTTGATCTTTAAATAATCCAACAACTTTTTTCAGCCTCTGAATCAAGCACTTACCTCAGTTGTGACAGGCTGAGAGCAGGCATAGATAATTTACTTGTGGTGTTACAGGAATGTCGTAGGGACAAAAGTTTTTATATCTCAAGCTATAAATAATATAGGGATGGCAGTCATCCTACCTCAGCAAAACTTTCAGACATTTTTTAGGTAGGAGAATCACAAGTGAATTTTACGATTATAAAAGGCTTCAAGAGCAGTGGTCCCTTTAGCAGAATTCTGCAGGAATTGTCCAAACTTGTGGCTCATCTCAGTCATAAGGTTTGAACAATTACTACAGCATATGTAGGGTGTGATTCTTCTCCAAGCTATGTTTACAGTAGCAATACTCCATAATATCTCTATACTAGAAACACAGGGCTCTACTCAGTTGCACAAACACAAATTCCTAGCATCTTTTGACATGCCCACTAGGAATCTTATCATTCTTCACAGAGGTCTCAGACGCCCTAGGCTAGCTCAAATGGTACTAGATGCTTAAGTGCAGGAAACTGAACAAAGCCCAAAATGTAAATATTACAATTTATGGTACAACACAAAGATGACTCGTCTTCACTGCCACTGGGCAGGATACTTTAGACACTTGGCTATGTCAGCCAATTTCTTCTCTAACCACACTCAACATCTCTTGTGATGTGAAAAGAGCAGAATGCATCCATCTCATTGGGTAAAATGCATCCATGTAAACAGGTAAGCACAAATCCAAGTAGGTCTCAGATGGCAATATTCAGCCGACAGGATTAGAAATTAAAGTATCTGCTCTGCTCAAGTGTTGAAGTTGACTAAGCAGTTAAAGAGAAGGTAATTATTATAGACCTAATCATTTAGTGAGGCAAATTTTGAAATCAAAACACGGAGTCATAGGATATCAAAATACTGACTTGGAGGTATCCTAATACGAGTACTGCACAACCAATTCCTGCATAGTAACCTGCAAACTTGGCCATTTCTTGTTCAATGTCCAGCAGCCTGGAAAAAAAAAAAAAAAGGAATGATCAATACTGTTCTAATATTCTGACAAATTTCTAAACTGATGTTCCTTCAAGGTTTACATGGCAAGTCGGCTTGTTTTGCTGACAGATGGACTGCTTCTTCATACCGAGCCTATTCCAAGCAATAGCTAGTTTGTTTACTGCCTCTTTTGCAGAGGCATATGGAGCGAGGAAGTACCAGGAAATTCTCTTCTGTCCTGGTGCTGCCCTGTAGTCTGTGAGGGCCAGATGAGAAATGCCACCAGACTGCATGCTGAGAAAAAGCACAGGTGAAAGGTTTTTAAAGGAGAGAGCTGCCCAACAAATTTTCATTATATGTTGAATTAGCTTAGTTATTTTGTAGCACTATACCAAGAAATAACATATTCAGTTTAAATAGTGTTCTACAGAGAGAAATGAAGGGCTGCTAAAATATATTCAAATATTACTTTGTGCCATTAGAAAGCTCACTAATCTGAAATGAGTATTTCTTTTAGCTGAGGTAGGAGTGTTTAATTACTCCTAATATCTGTGAAAGGCATTGAGTTGCTAGCATTGCATTTAGGTTACTTTGAGACAATGATTTCAGCTGGTTATTGGTTATCCTTCTAGTTTTTAATGCGCTGCAGAGAGCACGTATCATTCTGTTTGACCAGAATTGGGTACACTCGGAGATTTTCAGCCAAAACAGAACGCTGTAATCCTGTAGCCTAAACATAGTTGCCTAAGCACAGATACCTAGTGACATTTTTAATGCTCTAATGTATTCTGCCTGGTCTTCAGGTGCTGCTACAGAATAGGGGTCTGATAAATCCTGTGCCTGCTAGCCCCATCTGGGGGGCTGGCTGGGACTGCCTGGAGGAAATAAGTTGGCCTCCGATACCTTAAGGTACCATTTAGGAACCTGAATCACTTCCCATATGCTTAGAATGTCAGAGACAAGTAACTTCTAATTCTAACTAAATATCTAATTTAATAACATTCAGAGGTTAGAAAATTCTTGGAATGACGCATTGAAAACATAGCCTTACAGGTTCAAATTGGCTTTGGCACATACCTTTATTTGAATGTATCATCTTGACTCCATTTATTATAGTTAATGGAAAGAAACAGGCACTACAGGGCAGTTCATCTGACCTGCCTTAGACACCTCCCACAGGCCAAGATGAATTGCATCCTAGAAGCACCCATTTCTCTTCAATGACTAGAAACAGTTTAGTTAACTTGTTCAGAAGTCAGCAGGCACTTATAGGTATCTAAGTCCTACCCAAAACAACCAGAAGTCATTACTATCAAGCGGGTCACCAAAGAAAACATACCAGGGATTTCAGATGTGCAGCAGGTGTGTCTGTTATAAGATCAATCATCATTAATCATCCTTGCTGATATTACTAGCTGAAAGAACAAGACCCAACCTAGCCTTCTATCCCTCCAGGTAGTATCTCCAGCTCAGAAGCAGGACTCTTCAACAAGAACCATGCCCCTTTTCTGCTCTATGGATAGAAAATGTAAGCTGTAAGGACTGAACTGGACCTTCACTAGAAATACATGATCTGACAAGCCTTAATAACAAAGTAAAAGAAACAAATATATCTACTACTTACCCACATCTTATTGAGGTGGTACTTTCATTTTGATGAGTGGTACCATTGATCCACATTATGGTGTTATTTACACATGCCTTGCCTGGGTCTTTAAGCTCTTGCATTTCAATGTCATATTCAATAAACGTGTCTGCCATTGCACCAAACACAAGCAGCATGGCTGGCTGGGCTGCTCCATGAAGAATAGCACAAAAACTGCCAGCAGTCATCATTAAAATTTCCATAGATGAGGAAAATTGAAACTAAAGAGATGAAAAAAAAAAACAGTCTCTGCTCAGTAGTAGTCTTCATGCTGCCTGTATTCTGACGAGTCATTAATCAGGTGGATCAGATACAAAACCATTCTCCTTAAATTTCAGAACTCTCTTCAATAGAGAAAGCAGACAAATCTCTCTCTCCAATCTAATCTAATTGCAGCCATGATTACAGACTCCTAAATTATTATGAGCGTCCTTTATGTAGTTGAGAACAGAATCTGACCATACGAATGAATGTATCATCATATAATACTAACAGCTGAATATCACTCCACATTATCTTCATTCCAGAAACTGGTTTAAAGATTAAGAATAGGAAGGTATAATCCATATATGTAGTCAGCTTTGCTGATTTCCTGGGAGGGGGCATGGATCAGGGCTTTGTAGATAGAGCCTCCAAATAGAGTTAGCCACTTTCTCGAAACTTTAGGACGCTGTGGTAGACAGCCACCTAAACAATGTGTTGGCTGAGTCAGGCAATTGTACACTGGCTTTTAATCCAGGAGAAATGTATGGAAATATGACTTGCAGTAAAAAAAAAAAAAGGATCGAGCTAAGCCCTATTACCCTGCATTTGTCATGGCCTAAGAACATGTATACATGCAGCTGATGATTCGGCTGACATACAGTAACTTCAGTCACCTTTGTCATGATTGTGTGAAGTCTGACTCTCAGACTGCAGTCATGCATAAGTACATAGACCAGATGATGTATGCAGGATATTAGTCTAAAATACTATACATTTAGCAAAAGGAGTGTAAAGAGGAACCAGATATGTGCCAAATGAGAAGAAGGGGTGGGAATGTAGAGCACTATGGAAAAGGGACATTGCAGCACAGAAAAAGGGAAAAATGCAGAGATTAGATAAAGGGAAAAACAAGTCAGTCGACATAAAACAATAAATAAAGGGTCTTTCTACAAAAAAGAAGTTAGAAGAAAAGCATAGCACTGTCAGTGTTTTTTAAACCTTGTTTCTAAGAACTCTAGGAATTCCCTTACTGAAAATAAAAGCACTTATAAAAGGCACAGATATATGTGATACCTGACTTCTTAGAACACCTGATGCAGTCACACTCTATTTGCTAATTGCATCTTCAGAGTTAAATATCTATGCAAAACAGGCTATAGAATTCAGACCCCTCTGCTCAACAGACAGCCCTCAAACGCAGTCTGGAAAAGAGTTTTCTCAGTTTCTACAGTTTTAAAGCTCTGTACTTGCTTAGCTTTGTGTAAGCCAGTTCACAAGGAAGGAAAGAGTTGTGCTTCCTGTTCCAGCAGCCATAAGGTAGAAAGCAATATATTTTGTAGTTTGTGACAATTCTCTAGCTCTGGGCATATCCAAAGTGGTAAA